CTTGCCAAACAAATGAATATGAATCTATGTAAGCTTCTAGAGCTAAATACCAGTTTACAGGAAATATGATTAAGAACAGAAAGCAAGTTCAGTGACACAACAAGAAAGCAATCAACTAAATCCAGAATGCAGGATATTCTCCAGAACCAATGACTCACTTTCTCCAGCAAATCAGTGGTATTAACGAGAGCTGGGGTGAGGAGGTGGTTAGGGAACTATTGCAGAAAAAAACAGACTGAAGAGTCATAACCACCAGTTTCCACGTGTGGACCTTGTGTGGATCCAAACTCAAATCAAGGAACAACGAAAATGTATGCTTGAGACAATCAGGAAAATTTGCCCATAGGTTGAGTGCTAGATGACATTAGGAATTATTGTTACTTTTGTTATGTATGATAATAGTATAGTATTTATGTTTAAAAAGTATCCTTAATGGTCAAAGATGAATAGTGAAGTATTTACAGGAGAAATCATATGTTTATTTTTTTCTTTTAAAAAACCCAGAGAAAAATGCAGGAAGGACAGATGAAATAAGAGTGTCAACATTTTGATACTTGTTGACAATAGGTGATTGTTTTATGAGAGTTCATTAGATTATCCTCTCTACTTTCATACATATGTAAAATTTTCATAATAAAAATTTTTAATGTTGCTTTATTTTAAATTTCAAGCTTTCCTTGCACTTAGCCTTGTGAATTTTTTTCAAAATGCATCATCAGATTAGCTAAATAATTAAAACTTTGGTATTGCTTTGGAAACCTTCAAGCACAGTAGATAATCCATCAATGCCATTTTGTCAAGTCTTTCTCTGAGTCCCTCTTCTTCCTTTGCAGCACATTGAGCTCTCTGCCTCGCTGTTGATCTGGACTTCCCTTTTCCAGGACCCTGGACTGCCCATATCTGTTTTTCTATGTTGGATTCACTCTCTCCCTCTTTGTTGATATATTGCCTCCAAAATATATCAACTGGAGCAGGTGCTCCAGCAGCTTCCTAAGAAGAAGTAAATGTGAAGTAAATGTTTTAGTCCTTGAATCTCTTCACTCTCTCCTCACATTGGATCTGGCTTGCTACTCTCCCCTCAGAATTTTGGAGGCATTTCTGCATTTACTTCTAGCCTTTGGTGTAGGTGGTAAGAAGCCCGATACTATTTGGATTTCCTTTTTATTTTTCCTTTTTCAAAGATTTTAGGATCTTCTCTTTATCCCTGTTGTTACAAAATTTCTCACATATGCTGTGGGTTGATCTCTTTCCATTTATGGTGCTGGGGCTTTGTGAAATGCAGGTCTGACAGCCTGGAAAAGTTTTCTGGCTTGTTTTGCTATAATCTTACATTTTCTCTGGGCTTATTTTTCAGACTCTTATTCATAGGATATTAGACCTGTTAATCCCAATTTAAGGATTTTATTTGGAGAACTGCTGTGTAGAGGAAATACGAAGGCAGGCAGGAAAGGCTGATGAGCTGTCAGACCACGATACTAACCTCACCCAGGTGAAGAAGAGAGGGAGAGGTTGGGCGGGAGCGTTCTAGCCCTGCTGAAATCTGCAGTTTCGCGCCGCAAAACCGTAAGAGAATCCTTGAGCCAGAGCCGCCTGACAAAGTAGTCCCCTTGTCTCTAAGGAATGGGTTGACCTTCTTATTTTTGCTGCACTCCATCATTGGTGCGCATCTAAGCGCAGGCGCGGACTCGGAGCAAGCGCAGTGATGGATTTCAAAGCGCTGCATCTGCTGTCAACTACCTTTCCCGCAGGTCTGAGAGGCCAGCATCACGGCCGCTACTATTTTCATTGTGTTATTGAATGCGTCCGTCTATGTACTGTGCCTAGAACAGTGTCAGGCACATCATAAGCCCACAGAAAGTGCTGACTATTGTTACTGAGTGCCAAGGAGAAGCCTGCAAGGGTGTGTGATTAGCCAAAGGAATTGTGAAAAACTTTATGCTCTAAACTTCGGGATCTATTCACTTTTACTTTAAGCACTATTCTAACAGGCTCGGTTAGCTGTAGTAGAAGCCAAACCAGGTTAGAAATGGCGAAGTAAAAAGAGATGGGAAGCTTTATTAGCATTATAACAATCAGAAAGCTGAGAAATGTGCTTTTGACACCAGGGAAAGAGACAGAAAAACAATAAAAAGCACAGATGACAGAGGCACATATTTTCAACATTAGGAAACTCAGCACCAGCAACTTCAATAGGAATGGACACTTCATGGTATTTCATAAATGTGACAACTGCTGTTCCCAATAATGACTCTGATATCAAGACAACGTGTCACCGACACTTCGAGGAGGCAGGAAAGTATGAAATGCATTTCAGGATTTCCATCCAAAATAGTTAAAACTGCAGAGGAGCTCCACACAAAGAGTAAATCCTCTGGGATTCTGGACAGCTGATAGTTTTATGGATCTAATTAAATATATGGCTTTTTTGTTTTCCTGTGCTTAATTGCATATCAGCTCTATCTATCACTTGATAATGAACAATCCTTAACTCTTCTCATTTTACGACCTGCTCTTATGCTGAGATCCCCACACCTCTTGTGGCACTAGTCCTCACTGCCTAGGTTCACTGCTTCCTGAACAAACATAAATCTCTATGACAAATCACGACTACCAGCAGAACTTCCAAGTCATTTGAATTAAGCTCCTGAGAAGTGCTTGGCCATCCCATGACTATCACTCAGAAGATTCCCCCTCAGTGGCACACGTGCCCAGGCTTCCCGTTTGGACATTCTCTGCCCTTGCTTCCTCCAAGGTGGGCTTCATTTTGACAGCACTTCCTTGTTCCAACCAGCACTCTTTTTCACATGTTCCTGTTCTTGCTGATGAACCACTGACATACCCAGTGCTTTCGCAAACATTGGGCTAACAGCAAAATCGCTGGCAAGGGGTCACACATCAACGTCTTTCGAGAATAACTAAAGAACTTGATGATAGCGTATCTGCTAAGCTCTCAGGAGTACTGTCAGAGCTGAAGAAGCTGCCCTGCAGAGCAACGGACTTCCACTGTGAAAGTGGGCTGCTTACAGAAGGCACGAGACAGCAGCAGCCTCACAAAGAGTGAAACAGAGAGAATGATGAGAGAGAGAGAGAGAAAGAGAGAAAACTGAGAGAGACGTCACAGGCAGAGACAAAGAGAGACAACATGACGACATGCACATAGTATCCTGTCTTAGTCAGTTCAGGCTGTCATAACAAAAACCACATAGACTGGGTGGTTTAAACAACAGAAATTAATTTCTCACAGTTCTTTAGCCTGGGAAGTCCAAGATCAAGGCACAGGCACCTTCTGTGTCTGTTGAGGACTCACTTCCTGGTTCACAGACAACCATCTTCTCACTGTGTCCTCACATGGAGGGAGGAGAGAGTAAGCTCTCTGGGGTCTCTTTATATGGGCACTAATCCCATTCACAAAGGCTCTGCCCTCATGACCTAATCACCTCCCAAAGACCCCACCTCTTAATGCCATCTCATTAGGGTTTACATTTCAACACGTGAATTTGGGGCAGACACAGTCTATAGCATATCCGGGATATTTCAGAGTTAAGAACAAAAGCAGAATCTGCCTCATTTTCCCACTGATTTTAAGCTCTTTGGGGGCAGAGCTCTGCTTCCTTGCATCTACACTTAGTAAAATTTATGAGGAGGGAACACCGTCATGCTAAGCAGGCAGTGCTTAATTCACATTTGATAGCAAAGGACAAAAGACAATAATGTTCTAAAAGAAATCTCTTCCCCATGTTGCCAGAAGGATTAAAACAGCTGTTAATTCTGCACAGGTTTAATTTCCCCCAGTACCTGGCTGTCACCTCCTTTTAAGTCATCTGGTTTTTTGGCTTTGGAGAAACCTCAAAGGGCTGCCCTCGATTCCATAACGGACAGCCTAATGGACAGCCAGTGGTTTTAACTTTATTGAATTAATGATCCCCTCTTTCTCTTCTATGATCACACACAGCCTTCTAAAGTCAACTATTTTCCTATGAGTACTATTTTCCCCTTCCCTTTTATTCTAAATGGAATCAGTACATTTTGAAACATATAGCTCTACCGGTAAAACAACTGAAATGCACAAGGAGAAGCAGGCAGGAAGAACTTGAGCCTGGTATTTTAGATTGTTGCTTTTTTTTGATGAGGAAGATTGGCCCTGAACTGACATTTGTGCCAATCTTCCTGCACTTTACATATGGGATGCCACCACAGCATGGCATGATAAGCAGTGCATAGCTCCACGCCTGGGATCCTAACCTGCAAACCCTGGGCCGCCAAAGCAGAGTGCGCGTGAACTTAACCACTATGCCACGGGGCCGGCCCCTCAGATTGTTACTTTTTTGTCATATTTTTTCTATTCTGTATTTTCTTTTCTCATCTTTATATTTTTTCAAGACATGAAATTAAATGTACTGCAGCTTCTTAGGAATGAGTAAATTCAAGACAACAGTTTAGTAACAATCTTTAGAAACTAAAATTTATCTGAATTTCAAACCATAAATTGTTTTGTTTTTCCCCCACCTTAATTGGTCAGATATGGGGGATAAAAAGCATTATGAAGCATTCCAACTTTTGATTTGAGTACGAACAACATGTTGGCTAATTTGTATTGATTTTATCTGCCAATCTAGATGCAATAGCACTTTTAAAAGTAGATTCCTGTAATTTGCTTTTCTATGAAATGTCACCAATGCATTAAATACTTTGAAAACAGTCTTTGTAAATCAATCTGCACTTATTAGATTTGTTTAAACGATAGCATTAGAATTCCATGCCGAGATTTAATTTGATTTTAAAGTAACTCCCTACATGCAGAACATTTACAAGGGCAGAGAGGCTAGTTCCCAATTATTTTCATGCCGTCAGTGCTAAATGTGTTTAATGACTCCCTTCCCTACAAGCTGTGGGTCCTCTGAAGACCTCCCCATTCAGTGGGATGCACACATTTTGCCTATTTTATATTTTAAAAAAGAGGAAAATTCAGAATCAGTTAAATGAAAAGTACAAGGTCTTACCTTGTTCATGTCAAAGGTATTATAGACTTGATCAATATGTTGATTGGCCTTCTGATCCAGACCTTGCAGACCCAAGAGTGCCTTAAATTCATGCAGTGTTTGCAGACCGGATGGATATTCCATCATAAATTTTCTGTACCACATATAGGTGTCTTTAGCAAGAACTGCTGTCTGCCCACCAGTGATAGATTCACTATTCCCCATCGTGACTCACGGTCGACGGCTTTTTCTCAGGCTGTTTTCATGTAGTGTCTCTCCGGATTTAGTCCCACACGCTTCGCTAGAACTTGAGGCTAACACATGCCCTTAGAAAGCTACTCTAAACCTCTTACAGCTATAGGCTAAATAAGAATAGAAAGTCAGTGATATTAACTCATCTGTACAGTTTTAAGACTAGGTCATTTATAGCTAACCAATGGACTTGCGCTTACTGCCACTCAGAGATAGTCTTCTGTGAAGGGCAGAGGCAATATTTTAGAAAGGGTAATCCTTGCCATGTTGTTAGCCATAAATTGTGCCTACGTTATGGAGTGATCCAGTGGGGTCTAATGGAAGGAACTTTGAGTTGCAATCAGGAAGCCTGGGTTCTAGGTTTTGTTTACCACTTATTAACTACATTAAAACATTACTTAGGCTCTCCAGTCTCAGTTTCCCCACGTGTAGAACAGGAGCAGGAGTATTTGCCTTTCCACACTTGAATATTGTGAAGATAAACTAGACGAAGAACATTTTTTTAAAACCATGGAAAAATGATACATTCTGAGTATTGTTGAATTAAAAGGAAGTCTATTTATAGGAGAGGGAAATAGGTAGAGATATCCATATTAGTAGTAGTAAAAAACTCTGCAGATGTAGTGGGCAGAAAAGTGTGGTCTGCAGAGAAAGGAACATACTGGGCTGTGTCTTCAGACATTGTTCTTGCCTTTTTTTCTTTTTTCACTCTTCTTGTCCTTTCTCTCTCAAGTCTACAGCTACCCATGCCGTCTAGTTTTATCCCACTCTAGTTCCCAAGTCAATTTTGTCCAAGCCAAGCTCCAATTGCAGTGGACTTGAGAACTGACTCAATGGGCCTAAGAACTGTGTCTGTGGTCCAGGGCTGGAAATGAATTGCCCCACGTGGTCCACAAGTCATCTTGTGAGTAAGAGATGGGGAACCACACATAGGAGTAGCAGAAACACATGATCTCACTTAGGGTCATCTGGTCCCAACTACGGTTCCCCCCTCCTAATCTTTTTTCCCCAATACCTATATTTTCTCAGTTCATAAGTCTGGTCTCTGTCTTAGCTCCTATTCCTTAGTCGTACCCGATTATCTGTTTAAAACCCCAGGTTCCCCCAAAACTGAAGCCACTGGGGCCTCAATGAACTGCCTTGACAGAAAGTAGGCGTGGTTAGGGTGAATATGATTAATTTTGTTTCAAACATACCAATGTAGACCTTCAACAGAAAATTTCTATTTCATAATTAAAGTTAAATAATAGGTGTTCAATGAGGCCATAGAAATTTGGAACTCATTCATTTGGAAGTATGACTTGAAACCATTAGATTAGGTGAGATTTCTTATGCAGAGTAAAAAGAAAGACGATGAGATAATGAGGACTCCGGCCAGGGGATTATTCAGTTAGGAAATATGAGGAATATCCTGTTAGAATCTCCAAAAACCATTCTCTTGGGAAGTTGAACTTCAGACTCTTTCTAAATGTCTGCCAGACGGATGCTCAGAGGTGTTGACTTCTTGTCACCATTGACATTTATTAATCACCAATTTTTAGATTAAAGGAAGAATGGATACTGATGATGGCAGAGGAAGGTAATGAAAGTTTTCAAGGGGCCAAGAAAATCTCTTGTGGAAGGAAAACTTTGGATATATCAAGAATACAAGAACCTGAGATCCAGAAACTGTGTTTCTTCATATAAACTATGCTTTAAAAAAGATCTGCATACTGATTACTTGCTGATACACAAAAAAGTTTAAAACTATTACAAATAGTATGAGAATTCTTATATTGTATACAATATTGATATCCAAAAGTCAGGAGTCTTGCTATATAAAACATTAATCAGTTAGAAGATAAAAGGAGAAAGACTTCATTTATAATAGGTCAAAGAATAAATCCAATTACAATAAATATGACTGGAATATACCAGATGTATTTGAAGAAAAATTTTAAATGCTAATATAGGGCACCAGTGAAGACTTGAACATACAGAAAGTCATATTTCAGTCCTGGGTAGAAAGACTTGATATAAAAAAAAGATAATTCTATCTTAATCTATAATATCACCACAAACCCAACAAAATACAAATAAAATGTGAGGGGTAAGGGCTAATTCTAAGTTTGAACGAGAATTAAACACTAAAGGATACAGGCAAATTCTGAAATATAAAATTTTGCACTAGCCCTACCAAAACAACATGGGTCCAACGTAAGAAAAGATGGAACAATCAATGAGAAATAATGGAGCTTTTTGAAGAACTTCGCACAAATACAAATAGGAATTTAACATGCAATAAGGGTGGCACTGCAGATCAGTGGGGAAAAGATTAATTACTCAATTATTTGGGGACAATATTGTGGCTATCTGGAAAGACACACACAATGTTGGATTTTTAACTTACTCCTTACACCAAAATAAATTCTACGTGAATCAAAGATTTAACAATATAATTATTAAAATCATTGTAAGAAAACAAGGTAAAATTTCCTTATACTTTTAGCATCAGAAAGCCCTCCCTAAGTACCGCTACAAAACCCAGAAGCCGCAGATTCAACCAAAACTTTTTAAATCCCATAAGCCTCAAAATATCATAAAAAATCTAAAAATGAAAGATTATGAGAAAATATTTGTAATACACACAATATAAAAAAGATAATTTCCCCAATATGAAAATAGTTCCTATAAATCAGAAAGAAAATACTTATCACCAAATAGAAAAATGAGCAAAGGCCTAATTTAAAAATTCAAATGAATTTTAAACACAAAAAGATGCTCAACCGTACTCATAATACAAGAAATACAAGAAATGTTAAAACTACAAGGATCTACCACTTTTCACCTATTTGATCAGCACGATAAGAAAGTTTGATACTTCACTGGGGAGGGGAAAGTGTAAATAAACAGAGTGCATATTAACAACATTTTTATGGAGTGCTACTAAGCAATATCCATTAACAGTAAAATGTACACACCCTTTGACCCAGCAATTCATCTTCTGGGATTTGTTTAACAGATATAATTGCACATGTGTGAAATGAATATATTGACAATGATATTCACTGTTATGTGCACGTAAATACAAAAGGATGGGAAAAAAACTTAAAAGTCCACTGAAAAGAGAATAAGTAAATCTTGGTATGTCCACAGAATGGAACAATGAGGAGCAGTTAAAGATAACGAGAGAGATGTCTATGTTCTGATCCTGATATGGAGTGATCTGGAAGGTATAAGTGGAAAGAGCAACAGCGTCTTTTGGATGCTATAACATCCATATTTATATCTATATAAGGATTTGTAAGGTTTATATACATGGACTGTTTCTGGATGGGTCACAAGTCACAGGTAAAAGCGTCCCCTTGAGAAGAGTAATGAGGTGGCCAAAGACACGCATGAGGGAAGACTCTTCACCACATTCCATTTCACATGTTCTGAACTTTGTACTATGTGTCTGTACACAAAATTAAAATTATGCAATTCCACAAACAAATATTAAATGCTTTATTGTTTTTTTCCAAAGTTGCAGACATTTCTAAACAAACAAAACAATCAGTTATCAAGGAAAATGTAAAAACGCAATTCCTATATATATGTAAATGTAAAAACACCGTTCTTACATATCTGTAATGTGAGTTCACATTATAGTTAGAAGATTTGTTCTTTTACTATAACTCAATAATAAAATTATCACATAAACTATATCACAAAGTTTTTTGAGGACTTTTTTTCCTGCTGTACTGACTATTGGCTGTACTAGGGAAAGAGCAGAAGGTCCGTCTTTCCTTTTCAACACAAATTTCAAAAGGAGGCGATTCTGTCGTCCTTTGTGTTTGGATTTTGAAAACCACTGTTTTCCAGTTTTTACAGTCTTCTAAGTGAAAATAAAATTTAAGGCTAAATGACACTTCCATCTTTCTTAATAGCTCACCTTGGAAATCAAGAACTCTAGAAATAGTTTCTGAAAGAACAGAAAGAGTTAGAGCAGAGGACTGGGAAATATGTAAATTGTAAACCAGCCACCATTTCTAAAGTGTACAATTTTCTTAGTGTTAAGCAGGATGAACTTTACAATAACTTAGTACAAAGGGAAATATCTTTTTGAAAAGAATCTTCCTTTTTCTTATTAGCATTTTTTAAAAGGGAATATCGCTTCTGACTCTTAATTGTGAGAAGTGCTTTCATTTTTTCTCTAAAGGGAGACTACGTCCCGGATCTATAGTCACTTGATTTAAAGTGTTCTGGAAAAGGAGATTATCTTCTTTAAGCAAAGCTTCTAAATAACTGTCAATCTGCTCCAGGTCTCCTGCTGGACCACCCTGGAAAAGAGAAGGGATAATCAGAGCAGGAGGAGAAGCTGCGGGGTTTCTTCCGGTAATGTGGGCGGCCCGAACTGTCTTGCCTGTGATTCGTGTAGCAACAAAACCCACTTTGCATTGGAATAATGCTTTTAACCTTTCAAAACATTTTCACATTTCATCTCCTTTTATGCTTACAAGTGATTAGGAACTTGGATCATTTTTTTCTTCTTTAGTGGAAGTGAGTTCAACCGGTATTTTTCCTTCTATTGAATTACCTGTCATAATCCTAAGCCTCCCCCCATCTCTTGGCCCCGCTTCTCTGTTACAGGCTCTCATCTCCCATTCTAAAAATTCATGACTCTTTGGCCTTACAAGCAAAGCTGATGAGCAGGTGAATTTTGGCTTCTCCGTTTCTCCTCTATCCTCAGCAGCATCTTCCCCACAGCCCTTGGATTGCTGTTCTGATCTGCCTCCTTCGCTCTGTTTCCCCCAGTTCTCTGTTGGGGTAACTTCATGCTGTCCTTCCCTGGGCTCCTTGGTCCATGAACAGCTGGGCAAATGCTCCTCTTTACTGACCTAAATCTTACTTCCTCAGGATCAACTCACTCTCCAAGTGAGCTGATGGATAAAAGAATTTTTAGGAAGGACCTTTCTGAAATAATCCTAACTTTATTATTGTTCCCAGTAAGAGTCTGGAACCACCATCCTAGTTTCTCCCTCCCTTGCCTGGTTCCATTAAATGTGCTTCTGCTTTGCCCCCTCTGCCCTAGATTTGCTCAGTCCTCCAAAATGGCTGAACCACACTGAGTCCCAACTTCATGATTAGGGCCCTGTTCCTGCACACAGGTTTCCACGATATTGATAATCACTTAGATTTCTGAACATTCAGTGACCCTGAGGAATGAATGCCCTGTGGGACCCATCGTGACACTGACTCTCTTGGTCTGTTTGGTCTCGTCTAATCCTTTGGCTGCTGCTCTCTGCCCGGTGGACTAGCCTTCCTCCTCGGATGTCAGGTGGGCTGGGCCCCAGCTTCTTCATGTGCCTGCCCCATCCATATGCTTCAGGCCAACTCATCTCACATCTCTGCTCCAGTCCACCACAGTTGCTCTGGCTATCAGTAGGGTGAAAATGGAAACTTCAAGTGGAGGATGAGAGTAAATATATCTGAGCAGGAGCCCTTTGAGTGCCTCTCCAATGATACTAGATAAAACCTTTCATACTCTGCTGGCTAAAGCCCTTCACCTCCTTAACAAACTCTGTGAATAAAGCAAATTAAATTAGGATAATTACTCTGGCTACTGCAAGGGAACCCAGGGGTTTGACATAGAAGGAGGAGTAAATTACTATTCTTTCATTTTTTCTCCTAGCCAAACATAGATTTGCTATTATGAGAACCAATAATTTTTATGAACTTTTTAGACGGAGAGTGGTATGCAATTCTATGATCTAGAATTTATTTGGTCTCTTTAGTTTTTCCCGCTGGTGAAACAACAACCATCACTGAAACTCTACGTGTACCAGACTCTACCAGACCTTTGACACACGAAATCATCTGCCACCCTTTACAGCCACAAGAACCAAAAGGAACACTCAAATCCCACTCTTACTGCAATAACTAAACTCGAATAATTGGTTTAAGTAGTATTGTTGATAGAAGCACAAATATAATTATCATTACGTTAAAACAGAATTAATTGTCCTTTTTCATTTTAAGAATGAAACACTTTAACTGTTGCCTAGACCGCCCAAGGCAATCCCACCCAAGGGAGGGATCTTCTCTTTTGGCTACAGACTTAAATGGGGCAAAAATATTTTTTGTGTTTTTTATTTTGTATTTAATACAAGAGACATCCCAGAGAAACCAAAAGATGTATATTTTTTGGAGGAGGAATGGACTCTTACCTTGAAATGTTCAAAGCCAGGACTGAAACCCCAGCAGATACCTTTAAAGTCCACGCTCATCATGTACTATACTGACATTCAGCGAGTTTCCTTGTCTTTCCTCCACCCCCTTCATGGGCAATGCAGTCCTCCATTCCTCCAGTCAGGGCTCTCTGTAGGGGACTCAGCTCCTGCCCTCTCCCCCTGCATGGCCCAGGAAGGCCCTGTGTCCTCTCCCAGACTCAGGGCTCTGTCTGGGTACAAAATGCCACGTGCTTCCTAGCCTCACTGTTGATTTCTCAGTTTATTTCTAGCATCTACAGAAAGACTTCAACTTTGGCTATATACATTTTAATTGTTGATGAATTTTATCCACCATTTCTATGTGCTATGGTAGGAGATGGACCTTTCCTCATTAGCTCAATCTATCATAGAAGGCCAATTCCTTAGGCACTCAAATACACAAACAAACAAGACAGACAGGAATTCATACTTACATGATGTTTCCTGACCTCTCCTCTGAGATTAGAAGTCTATTTTTTTGCCAAGGAAGGTTTTCCCTGAGCTAACATCTGTGGCCAATCTTCCTGTACTTTGTATGTGAGCTGTCGCCATAGCATGGCCACCAACGAGTGGTAGGTCCGTGTCTGGGAACTAAACCCAGGCCACCGAGGCAGAGCACAGCGAACTCAACCACTAGGCCACTGGGGCTGGCCCTAGAAAAGTCAATCTTTATTTATGTTTTAGGATAAAAATTAAAATATTTTGTTGTGTGAAAAAACTAGAAAAAATTTCCTACTGGAAATATGCTCTTGAGGTGACAGTTGATCAAACTATACCAACAGCACAGGCAAAGACTGATATTTTTAAGACAAAAAATAAAAGACTTTTAAAAAGTGTTCTAAGATATACTTTCAAAGTTTGTTTATTTATGATTTCAACATCCTTACAGGGAGAGTAAGGGCCAGGTTAAGTAATTTGTCAAAAGTCAGTAAGTGGATGACTATGTTAGGAGAAGATACTAGCCAACTACTCTTTCCAAAGTATGTTCCTACCACTCCAGCACAACTTCGTTACTTACCAGCTGAAGTTTCTGCAACAACACCGCCAGTTTCACACGAAGATTATTCAGTTTATCTTCAGCAATTTTTCTTTTTCTTTCACATTGTCCCAGAGATATTTCATTAACTACTCCTCTTCTATTTGCATCATGGATAATAGAGTGCATTTTTCTCTTTAGTTTTTTTTCATATTGGACCATGTAAACATTCTGGATCTGGGAATGTTTTTAAAAACAGTTTCAGTATATTTTTAAAACATTACTTTTCTCTCTACTATCAGAAAGCAATTCCATACTCCAACTCAGCAGATATGTACCAAGAGTCAACTCTGTATGCAGGCACTATGGGAGATCTAAACTTAAGACATGTTGATACCTTTCAGGAACTTAAAATCTGATGAAAGGGAAGAGAGAGGAAGAAAAATGATCAACAGTCCAGTAACTCTAACATAAGAACAAGAAAGGGACACCAAGGGGGGCTCGGAGACCCTTGCTTTGGAAGGAAGAAGGTTCAACCCAGTAATGGCTGAATTTGTTCTCTCAGCAATGATACCCGATTATTCAAGACCCAAAGGGGGCAGGTGCTTGTGACTCTCTCCACAGCACTAGTAGCTCATGGGCAATGACAGAATGGCCCGCCACTCGGGGCTTTCTTGGCAGATGGTGTTGTGTTATTTATAATTCAAGTCTGTAGCATCTGAACAACACAGAAGCTACAGGAAGAGAAATTCCTATTCTGTCACTCTCTTCAGGTTGCTTATCTTGATGTAAAGGGTATGGTCACATACTTATGCACATGACCTTTGCTCATTCAAGAGTCTCGGTTGTTTCCCAAGTGCTCATCTTGTCCCTGAGGTACTCACAGAGTAAAAAGAGGGAATGGAGAGGCCAAAAGCTTCAATTTCAAAATGACATTAATTGCTTGTATCAACATTTCAGGGGCCAGGGGATATTCCGAGAAAAGACATGCAGGGCAAATCGTGTTTTGACAAACCTTTGAATGCTTGTGTAATAAGGAGATTTCTGTGCTCTAATATGACTGGGTTGCCAGGAAAACTGTAAGGCAGCCTCATTGGTCTTCAGGGTCTACCCTTCCCTGCTTCCCCTTCCTCCACCACACTCACTAATACACGCAGGCTCTTCCCCGACATTGTCCATATCATCCCCTTGAAGCACTCAATGACCTCATGAATTTCTCCTCTTTCTATAAAATCCTTTAAACAGAAAAAAAAAATCCCACAATATATTGATTCTGTTTAATAGACATTCACTAACTACTTCCTAAATTCAAAGCACTGAATTTTATTATAGGTGATACCAAGATATATAAGGTTCAGTCTTTGCCCTCAAGAAGCTTCTAGTCTACAGAATGAGCTAATACAAGTATGCAAACAGCATACCTTAGGGGGGAAAGTGTGTTGTGCTCCAAGTAAGGCACAGATATTGTTAGAGTTGAGAGGTGCGGAGTCTCCATTAAATTAAAGAGAATTGAAGTCCTGACTTGAAGGACTTGACTTAGATATACATCAGCAACTTACCCTCCAATTATTTATGTTTCCATGTGCTATTAATTGAGGGGAGTGTTTGGGAGCAGGGACCCCCAATACACTTCACGGTGGCAAACGTTGGTCCTATATTTGTGTGTCACACACACATACATACTCACACACATATATAATGTATTTTATTAAAGCTGAGATGTAATTGTGAGGTTTGCAGATTGCCATGTGAAGATATCTTAGGTTTTTAGAGTCTTAAACTGCCTGGAAGCTCGTGTGAGGGCACCAGAAATTAGACTCTGAAGTCTTGACCTGTCTCTGCCTATTCCTACCTTGTTTCCTGAGTTCTTGGCCTCCTTCTTCCAGGAAGACACCAAGCTCGTTCCTGCCTCAGGCCCATCGCCCTGGCTGCTTTCTCTGTTTGCTAAGTTTGACCCCAGATCTACAGCAGGCCTCACTCTTTGCCTCAGGTCTGTGGGGAAACACGGCTCAGATAGCCCTTGCTCACTGGATCTGAAATAGCCTTCCCTTCCCCAACACACTTCACTCTCTGCCCGTCAGCCCTGCACAATTATTTTACGGTACATTATATATGTTAGCCTATATTTATTTACTTATGTGGCTAGTATCAATCACTATGTGACACTACATTATGTTTTATTTAAGTGTTTGTTATCTGTCTTTCCCTCTGGAATGTATCCTCAATGTAAAAAAAAAAAAATAGTTTTGTTCACCTCTATATTTCCAATGCCTGCCACACAGCCAGCACTAAACAGGAGGGAATTAGGAGAGCACGTGTACAGCATCCACAGCAAGGGGATTTCAGAGACATGGGCCAATCCGGCCTTCAAATCCAGGCTACTTTCTGAGATACTGGAGGGAAATCTACTTTCGAACATCCTCCATTCAACCTACAAGAAGTCAATGACTTACAACTAAGGCAACAACCACCTCCTCCAAGAAGCTTTCCTGGATGCTTCCTATGGAGGCCTCAGTCAAACCCAGGGAGCAACATCTCCCACGGCCTGAAGGTGGAGTAAGGGAAATAAAGTCAGCTCAGCTGGAATAAGGAGGACAGGGTCACAGAGAGTTCAGATGTCACCAGCCACTTAGAGGTCTTAATTTTCAGACCTCTAGAATTTTATAGCTTTTGCCATTCTAAACAATAGCCAAGAAACAGTTTTTTATAAAATATACAACAAAAAACAAAACAAATAAAATTAAAAAGATATATAAACTACTAAAAACAACATTATTTAGAAAAACAACAGTATTGCTCATCAGCAATAGAAAGGAACATACTACAGTCACGTGCTGCATGACGACGTATCAGTTAACAACAGACCGCATATATGATGGGGGTCCCATAAGATCAGTTCCATATGGCCTAGGTGTGTAGTGGGCTATACCATCTAGGTTTGTAAGGACATCTATGATATTCACACAACAATGAAATCTCCTAATGATGCATTTCTCAGAACAAATCACCGTCGTTAAGCGACGCATGACTGTATTTCTACACTTGAATGGATCTGAAGGGCACTATGCCGAGTGAATAAAGCCAATCATGAAGTGACACACACTGAATGAGCCCAATTCCATAACATTCCTGAAATGAGAAAATTATAGAGATAGAGATGAGATGAGTGGTTGCCCTGGGTCAGGGGTGGTGCACACGGGGTTGTGAACATGAGGGGATAGCACGGGGAGATCTCTGTCATAATGGGAGCTCTGTACCCAGATTTTGGCGGGGCTTACACAAATCTACACATATGTTAAAATGAGACACACACTTCAGCAATTTCAATTTCCTGGTTTTGATATGTACTATAATGATATAATTATGTAAAAAGTAAGCACTGGGGAAAAAATTGGGTGTAGGGTACATGGGATCTCTCCACTATCTTGTAATTTCCTGTCTATCTATAACTATTTCAAAATAAAAAGTTCAGAAGACAACACTGTTAATACAGTATGACATTAAAATGTTTATATAGCACATTACATTCAAAGCCACATCCAGTCTCTCAAAGTTCACTGTAAAAATTTTGTAACAGCAAATTATATTTCCTTCAAACACTACCAGCCAGTTTCCCGATTTATTCTTCTGCCTTTCTCAGGCTAACATCTCCAGGAAGTTTCTGTAAAAGGCAGAATTCTGACAACTTCTTAACCTTAAGGTAAAAGGGCCTCTGGTTGCATTAACATTTTAATTCAGGTGAGTAGAGAATTGTAACCAGAGGAGAGGCTTAGTTCTGGCGTTAAACCTACTCTTGTAGAGGTATTTGTGGTGGATCAAAAATGGAAAAAAATCACAAACTCCATTAATTCAGAATGGAATTAAGATTTGAAAAGAAGGATATTCAACTAAGATTTTAATTTTCTGCCTTGAATTTAAAAAGCCAGAGCTCTAGCAGTTCTGGAGCTCCAGAATCCCAACAAGTTCGCATAAAGTAAGGTAGGCCTACAGCATCTATCGATTTTGTTCCCCGCCGATGGGGATACACACGTGAGTGTTTATGCGGCAGATGCTACGGCAGAAACAATGAGCTGTGATTCAACACACAAACAGTGTGGCCCACATGCATTCAAAGGTACTCATTGAATGCCGCCAGGATACAGAGTTTGATAAGAGAGGATTGCTAACTTCAAGGATTCTGTCATCTAGTTGGGGAGAAAATAAAGTACAAGAAACTACTACAGTATAAGACAGAAAATTTAATTAACGCTAAAATAGAGTTTGAAGTCTCTCTCAGAACACAGAAAGTCAAGATTAATTTCACAAGGAGAGACTGAGGAAGGCTTGACGTAGAAGGTATCACTGACTAGGCTCTCCACAGGGTGAGCAGGATTTCAAGAGGCCAACTGTGGGCTGGGAGAGTGGACAGGAGTACTCTGGGGGCCAGCAGGGGAAAGACTAAGAGGCAGGCCAGTCTAGTAGGCTGGAGCAATTCCATTTTGGATGGAGCAGATGGCTTGTGAGAGGAAAGAATAAAAGTTGGTCATTTGGGTCAGGTTGTACAGGACCACCAATACTGTCATGAGCCATCTACTACTCTGATAGCAGTTATGAAAATTAGTGGTGTGGTCAGGGTAAGGTGACCAAAGAAGTCTGTGACTTATCAAGGGTCCTTCTGTGCTTTGATGTGGCTCCCGTTATTAAAAGTATACACCTTAAAGCAACTTGCATAGATTTGTCCTCTACATGGATTTCAAGGAGTGATTTTAATAGTTAGTAGCTAGCGTCATTAATAAAGTCCTCAAGACGAGCAGTTACATGTGAGAGGGAGTCGAGAATCCAACTGTTCGGTATTTCGCTTGCAACATCTCAGTTTCAAGAGGAACTCATGGTCTCCTGACTGTTCCGCTTGCTTTGATTCTTTGAATTCCACATGCCCTGAACCTTAGGAGGATGCTACTCATCATCGATGCTAACACTGTTCACCTTGAATAAACACTTACCTTATTCAGTCTGGCCTCGAAGACCTAACTACCCGGCTCCATTACTGATAGTGTAGACACCGAAAAAATACCATTTAGAAACAGACATGAAGGACATATAGAAGCCTGAATAAACAGATGTATGACAATCTAGTTCTTAGCAAGTTTCTAAGTTTTACAGCGTAAGTATTTAAATCAGGGATCCCTAACCAGCAGATGAACATCTGCAGGAAGATCCGGGAGCCTTACTGGTACTTCCTCAAGCTGGCTGCCACACACTTACAGTCGGGACAAGTCCTGGTGGGACACTAAACAACCTGCCTACCACACGCCCCTCCCCGCCAGCATTTCACTGTCAGCGTCTCTCCATATACACCTCATCATGTAATGTCAAGGTCTCTAGTAAGTAAACAGTAACTCTTTAATACCAACAGACTGGGAAGCTGTAGGACACTATTGCAAGTAACAGGTGCAAACTCCATCAGAAGGATGAAGTATGACAGTCTGGATAAGAATCGGATGGAAGAAAGTGGTGCAGAGAAATGAGCCTTGGAGTAGGACAAACCTGGATTGCCATCCTGAATCTGCTCACTTGCATCATGACATGGAATATTATCTTTCTGACTGTCCATTTATTTCCTCATTACTAATGTGGAGATGGTGACACCTGCCTCCCACAGCTGTTGTGAGAGTTAAATGAGGTAACGTAAATCAAAGGCCTAGCTCCGTACCCGGCTCCAGTGGCTTCTGGGCAATCAGTTTTACATTCATTGATGAAAATTATATTAGTAATAGAATAGCGTCAAAAACATATTGAAAGAAAACTTTGCCTTTTATTCTAGTTAGGAAATGTCAACAAGTCAGCCTTCAACTTGAAAACGTTGAATTACTCATTTTTCAACAAAATATTATTCAGACAATAAACTCACTTTGCAGTTGAATAATGACAGGAAACTAAGAACTACAATATTCCTTCCTTTCCAGTTGCTTATCACAGTCCAGCAGGCAGCGTAGAAACATCAGAGGCACATCTATCAACAGGGGTGGTAAATTGAGGCACATCCGAAAATTCAAATACTTTGTGATTTGCCTTTCTAAGAAGAAATCTGGTTGAGGTTCTAATTATGATTTCAAGTTTGCCTAGTTATATGTCTTCGGGAACTTACTTCACAATTCTATTTCATTTATAAAACAAGAAGATTCAAATATTCCCTACATTCGCTACAAAAGAGATGAGGCAGTGCCTCTGCCTACAGTTGTGCTTTGCACACCTCCAGGGGGTACCATTCACCTGCTGGTCTTTATAGATTTGCATGTTGTTATGACAGTTTTCCAAAATATGGCTGTAAGTATAAGCACATGAAAGAAGATGCTAGTCTACATGCTGTTGATGGAGCTGTGTACCTGTCTGAGCAAACACAGGGAGAGTGTCAGTGAAGAGCTGACATCTCGATATCGACCCCAGTGCCATGAGAAGTTTTAGACTGCTGTGGCTTCTATCATGGGTCTGTGGCCTCAGCGGCTGTCCCGGCTCCAACACTAATCCTCTAGGTCAGTGTGGCCAAATTCACATCTGAGAGTCTCAGTTCCCTTGAGTGTGAATTAAGGGAGTTAAGGGCATATGAATTTTTGAGATATTTCTCAAGTAGAACTGAAAGACTCTGTGGACTCTGCCCCCTCACCACCGCCCCCCCCCCTCGCCCAAGAAATCTTTAAGAACTAGATACACTGTGTTATTTGAAGATTGTAAAAAAACAAAAAGAAATCTACCCAGGGAGAGAGAAAGGTTGCAATGAAATACACCAAATAGTGATCTTGGAATAGTTTGGAACTATGGATGAATTTCTTAAAATTCCTTTTATTTTCTCTCATTAGCATTAATTAATTTATAACTACTTTTGTAAAGGAAATATCATAAACTTACACTGTTGATAGAGTGCAAAACCCCCCCTGAGAGATATCAAATTGTCTAAAATAATTAAAAACGTTAATCTACAAATGATTTCTGGTTTAGTCCAGTGTCTCAAGGATTCAGTAAATCTATTTCTTTCTTTCTTTTTTTTTTTTTTTTTGGTGAGGAAGATTAGCCCTGAGCTAACATCCATTGCCAACCTTCCTCTTTTTGCTAGAGGAAGATTGTCACTGAGCCAACATCTGTGCCAATCTTCATTCATTTTGTATGTGGGATGCCACCACAGTGTGGCTTGATGAGCAGTGTACAGGTCCACACCTGGGATCTGAACCAATGAACCCTGGCCACTGAAGTGGAGTGTGTGAACTTAACCACTACACTACTGGGCCAGCCCCCTTGTGAATCTATTTCTTAAAGAGTCAGTATGTCATGTCTCCTGTTCAAAATGCAGTCCTATTCCAAGTGTTTCATAAGCTTTATGCTGTGGAAACATATTTTAAAATTCAAAAAGATGTTGCTTTGTGACATCTGATATGCTACACATTAATCTAAGTCTTGATAAGTGAATGCAAATTTGATTTCCTTCCAAACCTAGCATTTGGAAATGTATATTATTTCTCCTTTGGAATACAGGGTCATTTAGAATATAAATGACTATGTTGAAAGGAAGCTTACCTGGTTGATACATATTTTCAGCTTTTTGTTTGTCTCCTCTGGGCATTGCTCCAGCTGTTTTCGCAAATGATAATAGAACAGGATATTAACTGTTAGAGAATGAGCAGTCTACAACAGAGTTATAACATGCAGGTATCTAGTATTAAAAAAACCCATCAAGGCCAAGAACTGGCCAACATTGGTACTGTGGGTCTTGTAAGCCTGGGTCTAATTAAATTAATTAACTTAAGTACACCTCAACGCATTCCAAAAGAAGATCAAGGCAGCTTACATAACTAATACAACATGGTTAAAAATATTCGCGGATGAAAATAATCAAGGTGAAGGAAAAGTAAATGATAAATAATAAATATTGAAAAAGATGTCAAGAAGGTAGCTGGAGTCTGGTTTCTTGGGTGGGAATGCCAGAGAAATAGACTGGGGAGTCAGTGTCATGTGCAACAGTATTTAAGTCAGAGATAAGTTGAGGTCACTTGGAAACAGTGTTTAATAGGCAGAGAAAGTGGTCCAGGAGCGACTCCTCAGACATGCCAACATTTAGATACCAAACAGAGAAGGAGCTGCCAGCAGAGAAGATGAGAAGGAGGCAAACAAGAAAATGAGAAGTGTGTTGTCATGGAAGCTACCCAGAGAAAGTGCTGCAAAAAGGAGCAAGTGCTCGACTCAGTTGAAGGCCTCTGAGAGGTTAGGCTTTTATGTGACCACTGCATCTGTCAGCATGGCGGTCACTGCCTGACAAGGCAGTCCCAGTGAAGGAGTGGAGTCAGAAGCCCAATGGGAGGGGACGAGGTGAGAACAGAAGGTGAAGAAGCAGAAACAATGACTGTAGATTAGAAAACTAAGGATTTCACCTAGGATCAGATTAGGCACCCGGCACTTTGCGAAATTAATCATCTGGTGCTCTTTTCGCTGGTAGCCTTTCCATGTGTATCCTCGCTTTCCACAGCCACACTGAGCACGAGGGTGGAGAAGGGGCTCCCCTTCCCTCCTGCCCTGTGCCCTCTTCTCCTCCACTCCTGTGAGCAGCTCTGGTGGCCTCAGGCTTGGACACCTCTCTCAGCTTGACCACAGCCTGTGGTGACTTAGCAGCTTGGGCACTGCCCATTGTGAGCCAGCGTGAGGCTCACCCTGTGTGCCCCAGGTAGCTGATCAAAGTTTTTCTTCCAATCATATATGGGGCTTTCCTGAGAGGAGATTTGGTAAATACAATTTTCTTCCTCTTTCCCAGTGAAGTTTCAGAGATTCTAAGACGACCAGCGCACTGGGCACCTAAAACGGTTGACCCATCCAGCCTTCACCTCAGGTCCTCATAAAAGGTGGCTGAGGAAGTGTATCCAAGAGATGGAAACCCTACTTTTGGCGAGGGGGAGGGAAGTCAGGGACTATGGCCTGTTTCTTTTGATGCTTGCAACCAACCGTTCTCGGGCTGTAAGCTCTTCCCAATCCTGCTTTAACCCTCGGCCACGCTGGTTTTAAATGCAGCTTTAATTCTGAGCCATCCACTGGTATAAAGATCCCCATCTTCATTCACTTAAGCCATTCTATGTCCTCTTACTGGTAACACTTTACGTTTTTCTTCACTGAAGATTAAATTCAGGCTATTCTGTCACTCCCTCAGAGTTCAAAAAAGCCAGCTTACCTCAGAACTTGCTAGAAGTTCCTCCACAGGTGTGTAGCCGAAATCTGATGGCAGCTGACACTCAGGAAGAAAATACAGAAGAATCTCCCTAGGAAAATAAGCACAGCAGAGATGGGAATATACCAGGAAAAGAGACTCAGCACTCACCTCTCAGACTGGCTCTGTCTCCTGGGTGTCAAACATCTTGACAAAGATGAACATTCATGCCTGTCAAGTAGTTTGTTTTTACCATTGGCATCAAAGTGTTCTTCAAAAAGCATAGGTTGGGGAGAGGGAGGGGTCATGGTATAAAGGGCAACAGGAGGCATCCTCGCGGTGACGGAACTGTGCTGTGTCTTGACCGCATCAATGCCGATATCTTAATTGTGATACTGTTCATAGTTTTACGAGATGTTACCATTGGGAGAAACTAGATAAAAGGTACAGGGAATCTCTCTATACTATTTCCTACAACTGGATGTGAATCGACACTTATCTTAAAATAAAAAAGTTTATTTAAAAAAAGCAAGCAAGCATGGGCTCACGATGCCCATCCACAACCAAGCAGTCCAGGAGAGCCTTGCGCCTACTGAGTCTTCTCCTTGGCAGAGAACTCAGCACTGCAAAATTCCTAGAGGAAAAAGGGCTGACTATGGGCTTACTCATTTTTTCCCTAAGAAAACCAAAGAACTCAACTCTCCAGAGCTATTCCTTTCGTCAGGGCTTCCGAGACTACGCTTAGAAACCATACATGGGCCAGGCTCTTTCCCAGCAGTTATGGCCACTGTTCTGACAGACACTTCCTTTTGCCAAAAGACAGCAGCATCTCACCCTTCCACTGTGATGGCTTTTCTAGGATTGATCACCTAGATGACGCATAGTTCATTCCTGGGAGAAGATGAAATCTAGAAATTCACGGCTACCACATCTTAAAAATGTATAGAGTGTTTTTATGTTGAATGCTCCAAGAACCTCACGAATATTATCCAAGGGATTTCCAAAACTTTTCAATTGTAAAATAACATGTACACAAAAGATAAAATAGCTGTTTCTTGTATTCCTAGCAGTTTAAGTATATTATTTGTGCTAATATTCATTCACAGTTTTAAGGAGATTCAATTTGAAAAGCTGCACAACATCAAACATCACACACACACGCACACACACTCCTCAGAATGATGTGCCTGGTTAGTAAGAAGATGAGTCGGGTGGGGCAGAGGGAAAAGGGGCTTCCAGGTACTTGAGATGAGCAGAAATCAGATGGCAGAGCTGATTGCAGCTGCAACTGGAGTCCCTGGGAAAGAGGCCTGTGGTCCACTTCCGGCTGGTTCGGTGGGGCTGAAGAGGGAAGAGGTCTTTTATACAAACCACCCCTCTCTCTCCCTGAATCCAGCCTCCCTTCCTCCAACACAGGGTTGAAACCTCTTCTGAGCACTGGTCCTTTTCATGGTGGGTAGAAACTCTTTTGGGTTTGGATTTACAGCAAATCAGCAATCTTCTAAGGAGGTACTTCTAGAAAGACAAATAGTAGGTGTTGGCATTTGTGGGGAGCGGGAGGGGGTGAAGTGGCAGGCTGGGGAGAGGGGAGATTCTGGATTAGCCTTGGATTATCCTCAATCTGTGAAATCTCTACATCCAAACTTACACCAAACATCACCTATAGTCTGAATAATGTCTCACACATTTGTACTGCTCATTATGAAGGACCCCCACCCCCACTGTCAGCCCCAAGCTGGTTCCCTGTACTGGCCCTTCTTTGTCTCTCTCCGTCCAGGACCCCCGGTATTCAGCCTTTTAACTCTCTCCTCCATAGAGCTGCTGCTAAGTCACTTTCCCTTGGGGATTTTGTCCACAAAATGGACTAGAGAGGAAGACAAATTACCTAGCTCCTGCAGTCTCCAAAGTACAAACACACAGATTTTTTTCCTTTTCCTTAAAAATTAATTCAGGGAAAGTGAGATAGTGCTAAAAAAGTGTAAGATATCGAGGCCAGCCCAGTGGCGCAGCGGTTAAGTTCACACATTCTGCTTTGGCGGCCTGGGGTTCGCTGGTTTGGATCCCAGGTGCGGACCTATGCACTGCTTGTCAAGCCATGCTGTGGGAGGCCTCCCACATATAAATAGAGGAAGGTGGGCATGGATGTTAGCTCAGGGCCAATCCTCCTCAGCAAAAAGAGGAGGATTGGCAGCAGATGTTAGCTCAGGGCTAATCTTCCTCAAAAAGACAAACAAAAAAAGAAACAAAACTATAAGATACCCAAAATCACAAATGTTGAGTCTGAATGCAGATGTTTACGGACTCTTAAAAAAATTGCTTCACTTATGGTCTTGAGTGCCTGTCTTCGACGATATTCTTCAATGGTACCATTTTTGGTTCCTGAAGGTTTATCTTATCAAATTCTCTCCACTCTTAGATTTCAGGTTTCCTTTAGGACAGACATGGCAATCATCTAGTCCACGGACGTGAGCAAGAAGGTGCCCAGTGTGAAGCTGGAGGAATAATCTGGTGTCCGTTCACCAGTGTGCACTGAATCAACTGGACACTGTGCATTTGGGGGAGTCATGAACCAAGCGCTGCCATTTCAATGGGAATCTTGTTCCACCAGGAACCCTTCTTCCCTTGGAACATCTACTCCCAATTCTATCCCCAGACTTGATAACAATATCAGGCACATGTCTTTGTTTAGCATTGTCTCTCTTCTCGAGAAATCAGGGAATAAATACCCTACAGATCTTCCAGAGCTATTACTTGCCTCCAGGACCATAGCAGGTGCTTGGCTGTGATGTCCATCTCAGCCAAATTCCTACAGAAACGATATCCACATCTGCAAGTCCGAATTGGAAGTTTCTATAGAGCTCAACCAGGTGAGCTACAACACTGAATCAGCATTGTTTCCATACATGACAGCCAAGATTTGAAAAGTTCTTCAATTGCCAGTGTATTTATTTTTGTGGCCTTTTCTTTTGCTTCAGTCACTGGCAGCAACCTGTAAAAAGTGACTTTCTTAGGGCCAGTGCAGAGGCATAGTGGTTAAGTTTGCATGCTCCACTTCAGCGGTCCAGGGTTCGCAGCGGGTGTGGATCTAGCACCACTCGTGAAGCCACGCTGTGGTGGCACCCCACATAAAACAGAGAAAGATTGGCACAGATGTTAGTTCAGGGACAATCTTTCTCAAGCAAAAAGAGGAAAGCAGGCAACAGATATTAGCTCAGGGCCAGTCTTCTTCACATGCACATACGCAAAACGTGATTTTCTTCTTAAAACTTATTTTTGGTATTTTCAAAGTCCAAGATAACACAAAGTATGTTTGCACTTTTGTAGAGCTGAAATAAACGAAGTCTGTCTTCTTATCAAGTTTACGTATACAACAATAAACTGAAACAAGGTATTACAGGCTAGCAGTTAAGAGCAGGACTATGAGGCCAGACCGGCAGGATTCAATCCCACTTGTGCTACTTAAGAGTTATGTAAAGCTGGGCAAATTTCCTAACCTCTACGGACTTGATGTTCTCATCTGTAAAATGGGGATAATAAAAGTATCTATTAATAGGGCTGTTGTAAGGTTTAAGTGACTTAACATATGCAAAGCCCTTAGGACAGCGCCTGGCATACAGTAAGTGTATAATAAATATTTATTATTATTATTGGAAGTGATTTGAAATTTGATACTACTCCAATATTTAGGGCCATCTGATAAAATTTAATAGTTGAGATCCCAGTTTAGTTTATCTCTAACTTAAACAACTCAGTCACACCCCATTATTTGAAAATATTTTAACACCCAGCAATACTATTCACTGCTTTTTATCCCTTTCAATTTAAAAGTATTCTTTGAATGTCTACTAATATATGTTAGACATGGTATGGATAACCCAACCTGTTCTCTAAGAAGTTACTATATTTTGGGATTAAATAAATTAATATACATAAGACAAAAAATAAGAAAGGAAAATGATAAATTGAGCATAGTTAAGTGATGAAAATGGAAAATGAAAACTACTATTTTTTATTAATTTATTCCATTAACATGAACTAAACAGAGGTGGCCTACTTTGGTGGTGTAGGAACGGATGAGGCTGATGTCATGTCCAAAGTGAACCCAGTGTAGGGACATTCCACACACTTCAAAGGGCTCTAACTACTCTCTTTATCATGTAACAAGCAAGTAATCTGGTGAACAAGGGTGAGTGGAAAGAACTCGGTGCCCTCCACGTTGCACACAGCCAGCCACAATCTCCACACCTGGAGGAATTTAAAGTCTAGTTAACACAGGGAATAACATGAGGACCAGACACAGAATAGTGCAGTACAGGGAAAAAGCCATAGAAGATGACGAGAAATCTGTTCTCACGGGTGAAATGTGAGAAAACATACTACGTGCTGCTAAAGGCAAAAGAGAAAATTGGTAAATGAGGAGCTCGTTCTGCTCTAGTTACAGCCTTGTGTTCTGCACAAGTCTTTTTCCATTGAATATCTTTAAACAATCACCATAAAAAATTCAAGCTGGTACAGGAAAGAGCTGATTTACTAATACATTTGGCTTTCAGAGTGGTTAGTTGATAATAGTATGATGATTTCAAGTGCTCAAGAGTCTACATGTTCAGTAGGGAGATGGTTTCTGGGAAATTTCAATTTTCTACTGAGGCCTAATCATAGAAGTGGATGGACTTCAAACTCTTAGTATGCTCAATCAGATTATCTCCTTCCTGATCACATGAAACTCATCAAAATTTATGGTAATGATACACTTAGATGCAAAACAAAAATGAGCCAAGTAAAAAATAAGAAAAATGATGGTACGAAGTGGTGCATCCAAAGTCTGCTGCCACGCAACCAGATAGGTCTCTGCAGGCCTCACAGTGTGGAGAGTAGCACAGTGAGTGTGTGTGTGTGTGTGTGTGTGCACGTGTGTGTGTGTTTACTTCCATATATACATACACACATACATATATATATATATATATATGAGTGGTTAAGAGCGTGAGATTCCAAATCAGGGAGCCTAGGCTTAAATCCAGCCTTGTCCTCCGTAGCTGTGTAATTGTTTTTGGAACTTTAAGTGTGTTAGTTTCTCTAAGCTTCAATTTCTTCATCCATAAAAACAAAAAGTTAAAACTAATACCTAGTGCCTAAGTTTGTGTGAGTAAGGAGCTAATGTATACACAGCACTTGGGTGAATGCCTGAAATAGAATAATGGCTCAAGGGGCTGGCCCCATGGCTGAGTGGTTGGGTTTGCGCGCTCTGCTTCGATGGCGCGGGGTTTTGCTGGTTCAGGTTCTGGGCGCAGACATGGCGCTGCTCATTGGGCCATGCTGGGGTGGCGTCCCGCGTGCCACAACTAGAAGGACCCACAACTAAAAATACACAACTCTGTACAGGGGAGTTTGGGGAGAAAAAGGAAAAATAAAATCTTAAAAAAAAAAAAGAATAATGGCTCAAAAATGACAGCTATTACCATCAAGAATGCCTGATTCACTTGAAGCAATGTCCCAATCATTGGACATGTGGTCATATCCATGCATCCATATGTGCACAATTATTCAGATATACACAGGCACATATACATTTATATAATTTATTGCATACTAACATGTCCTAGTGACCAACTGATATGCCTGAATCTTAGAACTAGTAAGTAACAAGGCAGCATGAAAATTTATGGCTACCCACCTTCGAAGCTGAGGCTCTTACACATTACTTCTGGACAGACAACTGACGGACGGTAAGAAAGTGGTTGGAGAATCCCATTCTTTAGGGACTAGATGATAGACCATGGCAGTATGAAACAGACATCCATCCAGATCATTGGACAAGTGACCTTTTTCAACCTCATAATATCTGTACAACACTGAGGGCTCGCCTGCTCTGTCCCAGTCCCAGGCTAGTTGTAAGCTTGTCGACCCAGGCCCTAGGGCAGATTTGGTGGATGGAACTTAGTGTTCAGGAATGTAGTGCTCTGGCTTCATTTCTTGGTCAACAGATTGTCTCTGGATCCCTAGTATCCTTAGTGAAAATGTGTCCTGATGCAAAGTCCCAGGCAGATCCCCCTGCACATAACCCAGACTATGTCCTCCTTTCTCCTGGGTCAGGACTGCTGTTAGGAGTGTGTTCCAAAAGGACAGCAGGTGGGGCCTTCATGCCCATGTAAGCACAGCCCCACAGCCCTGGATGCTGCCACAGAAACTTTCACAACGTCCAGGGCAGCTGCAGACATGAGTTTATGTCTTACAGTGGCCAGCAGCCTCCTTTCACACACAGAACCTCAGCCTGGGGCCTGAGTAGAGGCTGTAGCTCCTATATATGTATGTGTATATATATGCCTCATCTCTACCTTTCTCTTTCTTCCCACTTGCTTCTACTCTTGGCCAATTCTCTTCTTCAGGAATATTTTGTCAGTCACTGATCAGAAAGTCAAAGCTACTTTCCTAAGTGAAAACACTTCTTCAGCTAGGGTATGTGTGCATTCTCTTTCCCCGAGAGCTCTTACCTCACACAGGCCCCTCCATCGTCTGTGACCCTCAACCAAACCAACTGGCTGCACGGGTTTAGCAGTGTTACTGCTCCTGTCCTGACCCGCCCATTTGACACCTATTTTAGGGCACTCTTTTGTATACCAGCTTCTCTGACTTGACCACAAAGCCCTTCCTATCATCGGTCCCTATTTGGAAAAACTCTGAATCCTGGACTTTGCCTCCTCTCTGTCTCTATCCTTTGAGAACTGAGATCCAGACATCTAAATTCCTCAAATAATTGTGCCCACAAATCTTTACCTTCTACACTGAACACGAGAGTGAAATTAAGTTTCCCTTAATAAGTTCATTATCTAAAGCTATAAAAAGAGACTTTTTAGAAGGCGATACAAATGTCAGGAGGGTCTTTGTGAGGCAAGGAGAAGGAGAAGAAGAGAAAGAGAGAAAGAAGGAAGGAAAGAAGGAGAGAAAGAAGGAAGGAATGGAAGAAAGAGAAAAGCAAGCATGGCAAATTCAGTAAGAATTCTTCATTGCATTCGAAAGAGGACTAACATCCACCATATTGCTGGACCATGTAACATTTGTAGGTGTATTCCAAGGGACATTTAACCCATGGTATATTCTAAATCAGTGTAGTTAGGAGACAAGTCATAAAGTCATTCTACTGAATTTTCTCAATAATGTTACCACTTAATAGGGGAAAAAATCAGCAGTTGCCACTGGTTGGAAAGTTCAACAAAGCACGTGAAGAAACGATAGTAAATATGTTTACCTTAATTTAGATATCAGTTTTCTTGCTGTTTCCTTGACAGATGTGCTCTGAGAAGATACTGTCAGCGAAGAAGCAACTTTACCACCACCACTCACAGAAACTCTGTGTCCAGAACTTGCATTTAAATCTTCCATCAGCACACTGGGCAAAAACAGGCAGAGGTTTATAGTTTCAAAGGAGGAATCACATTAGACACTAACAAACTCAGAAATGTTCTGATACAACAGATGAAATGTTAATACACAATAAATGAAAGCAAGGACATAAATGCAGTGCTGAAAATGGTCATTTATGTAGTCATATAAAATCAATTCTCAATTAGAAGAATGCCTATTCCTGACAAATCTTATTTCAAGGTTTTTGGGTAGCCACAATTAAATAAAATTGGTGATAATTTATTCCTAACAATAGTCGGCATATACCATTTATCTCTTATTTGCTGACAGAAGTTTTTAAACTAAGGTTTTACCCTAGGGGAAGGAATGTACAGAAATAAGACAAAAAGGGACAAAGTCAGTTGAGAGAGAGATTTAGTCACGATCTGGGGGAATAAGAATGTTCTGGGCGAAGTATAATGATTCTGGAATAGAAATGAGGTAAGGCTGTTCAAAGAAGAGTGAGCAGGTCAGAGCTGTTGGAGTGGAGTGCACAGCAAGAAGAGGGAGAGAGATGAGGTCACGGGGCGGGAAGTGGGGTTCATTCTAAGCAGAGTAGGCACCATCACTGGAGAGTTTCTTGCATGGGAGCGAGGTGATCTGATACATATTTTAAAACGATAACTGGCTAAGCATAGGAAACAACTTGCAGTAAGGATTCACAAAATAGTGTAGCATGTTAATGAGACCCAAAGCTTTCAGTGTTATAGGGACAAAAAAGCACAAGAGGGCTTGGGGATGTGCAATATGGGAGATGAAGCTGGGTCGGCAGGTAGGGGTCCGATCACGCAAAGGGTTTGTTTGTCAAGTAATTAGGAGACTTTTGTAATTCTTTCACGCTAATGTCCATAAATTAAGACCACAACTCCAGAGAGTTTTATAGGTTTATATTGTACAGGCCTTTTAAAATTGGATAAGAGTTGATATCAAAGGGCATGTGCCTCTACTGTCAACAGTTCCTTGCCATTAATTATACTGTCTAACTTCAGCTGATATTTTACTTAAGATTAAGAACATTATAACTAATGCTTAATTGTCTGTTAAAGAATACTTGCACAATGTCTGAACGCCCATTAATCATAACCTGCTTTATGCTGAAGTTTTATTCATTTTTTTTTCCCACCATTTTAGGGATGCTGGAAATTCATGCTGGTGGTAGGGGGGAAAGTAAAATTCACTACACTAGAGCACAGAGCATTCCTCTCTGAACCTGTTTCTTCTTTTGCAAAACAATAATAATGTCTACCTCATAGATCTGTGCTGAGGATTAAACAAGATATACAAAGAATTTAGCTCAATGCCTACTACTAGTAAGCACTCAGTAAATAGTACCTAATTATTATTATCATCTTTATCATCACTACCACCGGCAATGCATTTGCCAAGATTCTTATTAAGATTCTTTAAATTGGATTGTAGTTCTACCATTCACGTTGTAGTTGCCATTTAAAGACAATAAAAAAAACACAACCTCAGAAAGACCTGGAATATATGAAATAATACACCAACACAAATATACATACACACACAAAAACATGTTTCAGTTTTTGAATGGATCTTAAATGTTAACTCAAATTTTAATAAATAACTCTAGGTAAAAGCATTGTCTATAAACTGGCCTAGCAACAGAACTGGAAAAAAGCCCACATCATTTATTCAATTAACAAATATCATAGAGTGCCAACTTTGAGTCAGGTGCTATTCTGGACACTAGGGACACAGTGGTGAGCAAGACAGTCCCAGCTATCACAGAGCAGTTACGTTCTAGTGGACAATACAGAAAATAGGCAAGCTAGAATGTAAAACATGAAAAGAAATAGATGACTGAATAAAATACTTTAAAGTACTAATAAGTGCTGTGAAAAAAATAAAATGAGATGACATGATTTGATAGGGTCCCTTGCCAGAAGTGAGGTGGGCTATTTTAGATGGAACGGTCAGGGAAGACCTCTCAGAGGCTTAGCGTTATGAAGAAGAAAAGCTCCGGCTCCTGTCCTTAATGAAGCTTATATGCAGTGGGAAGACAGATATTCAGACAGACAATTCCACTTGACCGTGAAGCACCGCTCACCATTGTGTGTCAGAACATAGCTGGCATTTAACAAGTAATTACTGAACCTGAACGACTATGATGCAATCTGCTCCACTGCAATAGTGGCTCTGTGAGTACGGAGTTTGCCTGGGAGTGCGGGGGGACTGAAGGAAAGAACAGTTGATCTGAGCCTTGAATGAAAGGGTAAGAGACTGGTGTACAAGTTGCAGAGGACATTCAAAGAAAGGAAGAAGCATGGCACAAGCGCTGGAAGTATGGGATGAAACAGAACTATAAGTAATTTAGAAACTCTGGGAAGCAAAGTGGGGGCTACAGAAGAGGCAGGAATGAAGGAGACTTGGGCCATCCTAAAGACTTTTGACTTATCTTAAAAGTGACGGGGCTATGAAAGGCTTTGAGTACCAGAGTGAAGTGATGGGATTTGAGTGTTACAGCAAGGGCCGTAAAATAAAAGCTCCTCTCTGCCTTTTCTTGCACTTAATTCCACGTGCTCCTGTGTGAAAAGGGCACAGGCGCTGGATTCAGAGATGCTGGGGCTGAAGGCCTGGAAAGCAGCTCAGACGGGTTTGTTGTAGAGTGAGGGCAAGAGTCTGCTTCTTTGAAAATATTCTTTTCTTCTATTGGGTATCCAAAATATTCAGCTGATTTTATTCTACAAGTGACAAAAGTCTCATGTCAAGAAAATTCTAGTATGCAAGCATTATACATACATATATGACAATAAGATAATGAGCCACACAAAAAATCGGTTCATAGTCATGCCTTATAAAGATGTGACATTCTCAGTTCTTTGACTACGTCGCAGTCATTTGAATTAGTTGCCTGCTGTGAGTAGGAAGCTAAGTCTGTTTCATTTCATTATTCCAGAATTCTCACAAAAGAAAATGAAAAGGTTTGGGAAAAGGGTAAGAAATCTAATGTATTCTATTCTTTCCTGTCTCCTTGGTAAAATTTGGTTCCGTTCTTAATTGCCTTTGCTTATTGCTATTATTTTCTTTCTTCTTGTATTTAAATATTAATAATTACTTTCCGACAGTGTAAGTGAACTCACTGGAATTCATACAATTGCAGCGCACGCACCTTTCCCAGTGAGGTGGTGAAGAGTTCCTCTTTCTTTCTGGGGTATCACTGCACAGATCCTCTTTTTCTTCAAAAGAACACAGAGAAAATGAAGACAATGACATTTTGATGATCACACAATAAAGTGAACTGAAAGAAGTGTTAGCTCATTAACTACTTGTATATAGTTGACTTGGTATTCAAACATCCTTTTGTAAAACTGCACCATATGTTCTTATAATACCATTTTAATAAAGTGTATATAGTGTATATAATAATTCAAGAGCCTCTGTCACTTTTTTTTGCAATTTCTCTTTTATGATGCTTGTTATCTGCTATTGGTGTGCGTGGGTGACCGACTGGAACTGTTCAGATTCCCTTCTATCACCATCCTCTGCCCAGACAGCCACCTGTCTCCCCACTAGCATCCCACTCTATTGCAATTTGGGTGTAGGTTCAAAGACATCCTGACAGATCCCAATCAGAAACGTCTGTCCAACAGAGTTAACCTTTAAAGGAGGAAGAAATCTAGACTCATCTAGTTGATTTTCTCACTCAGAGAACCTCAGAATTGGAAGTCCAGAGAGGTTAGTGATTTGTTTACAGACTAGAGAGAAGCGGAAATGCTTTGATTCCCTTGGATTGGTTTTAAGATTGTCTTGGGGACAGTATAAGCAATAAACCAATGCGTCCTTCTTCCACTTATCTCTAGAATTCTTGTGATGTGTCCAAATATTTTGTTCCACCAAGTAAACCTTTGCCAACAAGTTTAGGGTCATTAAGGGTCAACTGGAACAGAACAGCAACAAGGAAAGTTTTAGGTGGCGGACAAATCTCTGAGGATCTGCCCGACTCCTTTAAGGAAATATAAAAGAAAACAGAAGTACACTGCAGGTACCCATGGTTTTATTCACTGACTTGCATACAAAGTGAAATTTTTTTAACCCAACAGCCAACTAATCCATAATTACAGTCATTTGAAAATATTTCACAATTTGTTCCTTCCAAACCCAGGATGAGTATTTGAAATTAAATATTAACTTTAGGATCAAAATTGTATTAACAATTTTTCCATTACAATTTGGAAATCCAACAGGCACTTACTAAAAGGCATGTTAATAGTTTGAAATTTCTCTAAAAGATTGGCTTTAAAATTGAGACCCTTACAAAAGAAATCCTGATTGTGGAATTGCAAATTATCCTAATTAAGATAAAAAAGAAAATGTATGATTTCTTAGGAGGCCTCATTAATGGGTTCAAATATAAAGATGTGAATGAATGGCTGATTAAGTTACCTGAGCAACAAAGTATAAAGGAAAGGAGAGCTGACAACCGAAGTGGACACAAAATAATGGCACGGATCAATACAAAAAGGACTGGGAATGATGAAGCCAAAATGAGCTGAGACTTGCTAAGCAGGCTAAGAAAGGTTTTAAAATTTATTTCAGAATAAGATGATGACAATGAAAATAATGGACTTGTTGATTAGGGCCAATGGTATAATATTAAAAGAGAGAAAGGTATATATAGTACGGTATAAAAGAATTATAGTAATAATAATGAATGGACACTAAGAAAATAAAATTTTCTGAATCCAGTTTGTTTCCAGCTTCTCTATCCAGGGAAATAGTCTTTGGATTGCATATTATAAGATGACAACTTTATGTCTAAAAAAAGTTCTAGAGTCTCACCTGAGACAAATTACATCCCATGAACAAAAAGGAATAAATGTGTTTGTTGAACTATTCTTAGTGATCTCAGGGGAATTACGAAAAGGAGGAAAAGGACTAAGTGATTGAAAATAGGGGAATGTCATTATAACTTTCAAAATAGATTCTGAAAAGCATAGGCCTGATATCAATTCTCGGCAGATTTCAAAGTAGAATTGAATGCAGAGGGTGACATCAGTCTGCTGTTGGGAGCTTCAGGCTGTGTGGCAGTGTTGGGGGCACTATTCTTAGGCAGGAGGTGGCTGCCTGCCCCTTCAAAACTCCTGAGGGCGGCAGCTCACTCTCTCCCCACGCTTCCTCCCACTTCTGGAACAACAAATTTAATTTTTTAAAATCCAAACTGCTGCCAAACTTCTGATCTATACCCCACATAGATCTGTCACATAAGCCATACTGACAACAACCCAAACACGACAGCTAATATGTGTAAACTGAATACATTTTTTTTTTACCTTTTTTCACAAGAGAAACTTCCTTTTTTTCTTGTTTCAATGAAACATCAGTATCACTTTTATCTAAAACCTGAAAAACAAGCTCTTTATTTAAAGCTGTACAAAAACAAAGGACATATTATAGGATACAAAAATGACCTTGAACATCAGTGCCTGTATAAGGGGAGAGAGCACGTAACATTGCCAGGAGTACAGTTTATGGACATTATGAGGGAGACAATCACAGGTGCTGTAGAAAATTATATTGGCATGCATCTCAAGGATGATTGCATTATTGTCCTATTTACTTCTATCATTTCTTTAAAGGGATTTTTACATTTCCACCAATATTTGGACAGATATGTTTAAGAATCCATATCTTACAAGGATGTAACAATGACTCCAACAAATGAGCCAAGAATTCCATTCACCAGGAACAACCATGGAGCCTCACTGTTCTGAGGAGGCTCATCACAGCCCTGGTTGCCACAGAGCAGACACAGAGAATGAGCCCCACATCAGTGCAATGAAAACTCTGGAGAGGTTGGGGCCTGGGGCCTCAAAGCATCATGGGAAAGAATATGGGATGAGGACAGGAGTGTGCCTAAAATGTTGGGGGATGGGACACCTTGTCTTTGGACAGAATCCTAGGAAATCTGCCTAAAAGGTGTTGCAGAGCCTTAATGTGTTGAACGTAGGAGCCAGGAGGGTTGGTGGCACCTGAGAGTGAGGGGATGCGTGTGTGTGATGTCAGATGTCGGGGGCAAGAGAGGATGGGGGAGTTGTGGGGAGAAGTGTGCTATTCACAAGCCAGGTCTACCATCACTGTCGGAATCCTGTAAGATCCTTGTAAAATCAAGGCTCACACAGGACAAACTTACATTTTGGGAATGCACTTCTTCAGATCAGAGGAGGGCGTGAGGGAGAGAGTTAGTTAGTTTATGTCCTTCAGGAAAACAGACCCTGAATGCTCTCTTTATGGATTTAGTAAATCTGTGAGTAGGTTGGGGAATGTACAGTAAAAGAAGAAAACAGAGAGGCGGGGCTAAGTCAAAGCCCCTGTATGCCCCTTGATCTGAAGACCCCTGAACACAAGCTTGGACACAACCATGTTCCCCACTTCCATTACCTGGTGGAAGGTGTGGGGCTGTCAGTCTTTTGGGCTTACCCAGTGTGTATGTATCCTTGCCTCTCATGCCCCCTCTAACGGCTAAACAAACGTGGGAGGGAGGCGTGGCCAATCCCCCTTTTCTCCTCTCCAGGAAACACAGGTGTATATTTTACAGGGTATTCTGGAAACGGTGCTGGCAGGATGCAGGTTAAACCGCACACATGTAGCCTAGCAACGAAAGAGCTGTGAGGCTGTCCCTCATTTGCCGTTTGCTGTTTTACCCAAATCACGAGAAAGAAAGCCTTGTAGGGAGCGGGAAAGAAAGAAAACTGAGTCTAAGCTACTTTGGTCCATTTCAAAATATTTTTATACTTATACTGTAAATCAATTCGTGTTCCAGAAAGTAAATAAAATGCACATATTTTTAAAAAGTTCATTTTGCAAAATGACCTTAAAATGTATGTCTTATTTATTTCTGATGTAACATAAAATTTAAAGTTTTCTTCTGATGTACTGATACATAAGGAAAATCTACATATTTTATTATTAAGTGTCTCTAACTTGGGGCTAAATATCTTTTTGACCAATTTATAAGCAGCATAGACTATTTCCCTATAACAGTTATCAGCAACCTCAAGATAGGCTTACGAGACAATTTATGTATTGCCTTTAATTATAACCACTTTGTTATAATCCATCATGATCCATCTCAGGATGTGTGCATTTTCTTTGGTAACTCCTCCTTATGATGAAAATCAGACAAGATAGAAGTATCCAAGATTAACAAAAATGACAGCACTCCCAGCAGGGAACTTTTGTTGGTGATGCTAATGAACCTCATGCAATTAATTACTTTTGCATTGTACTGTTTAGTCCCCTGCTTCGAGCTCTGCCTTGGGACTGTTTCCACCAGGATCAGATATGTCCCCTCAAACCAACAATGTTATTTATACAAAGCTTTGCCATCTCTCTTGCAGGAGAGATTTCCTTCTTTTCTTTTTCTTTCCCGGATTTTCTTTATTCTTTGGCATAGAAACTTTTAAAAGATTTTGGATAAAGATTTCACAGCCTACAGTATTTCCTTTTAAATTACATTGTGTAAATACCTGAGTCACAGGATGCTCCCGTCTATTTAATGTACTTGTAGCTTTGAAGGTCTGAATTTTTTCAAGCAGAGATAAGAAGACACGCAGCTGTCTTTTCAATGACACTATTAGTATATTTTGATACTACTTACAAAGCTCCTTCCCATCCAGCACTTCATTACAGAAATGTTCTCCAGTCACTTACGCTTAACTGTGCTTCATACTCTGTGGTTTGGGGAGCTCTCTTTCCTAAGATTTTACCTCGGTCATGAAACAGATAACACCTCCCACACAGTAAATGAGATTATAGCTAAGTCTTAACATGAGGTTTTAGATACCTTAATTAAAATTATGTTAACAATGAGCAGAGTGGGATTTGTCAGTTCTCCCAGGGATGCAATGGATCAGCATAATACCGTGCTCAATTTTGTGAACTATCTATTTAAGAGGATAAATAAATCATAAATAATTTAGAGAGAAGAAAAAGAATACACCTCAGTCAGTTGTTTAACACTTGTCTAATTCAATTGCTATTAAGGAAGCCTAAGAACGGGTTGACGTCACTTTATCTGCTCTCTCTCCTTCTATTTTGCCCCTCCACCTCCACCCTAAGTATTTATTATTATCAAGGACCCAGAAAGGCCACAAGACCAGTCAATGCCTTCCTGCCAAGTTCAAAGGCCCTTCCTGTTCTCATTCTTCCACAGTGAATGTTATGTTCTAGGCTCCTCCCTTATGTTCATTAATTTATTCAATAAAACTGAGTTCCCAGTATGGATCAGACACTGTTATGGTGAAGAATATGAAGTCCTGCTTTTGTGGAGTTTATTTTCTAGTGAGGGAGAAAAAATATTAAATAAATAAAAAGATATGTAATATACTATCAAGGAATGTAAGCTCTGTGAAGAAAAATAACTGAGCTAGAAGGAAGAGAATGTCATAAGCTCTTGCACAACTGAGCCCAGGTGCCTCTCTGGGCCTCACTGTTCTCCTTCCACAGCCTCCATGTCCCCTCTCTAGACGCTTTTCCACAAACACGCCAGGCACTCTCCTCTCTCAGAGTCTTTCACTTGCTTGCTGTTGATTCGTTTGTTCCCCCAACTTCTTTCTAGTCTTTCCTCAAACATCCCCTTGACTGGGGCTTCCTTGCCCACTCTACTTAAAATCACATCTTACCCTCACCACACCCAACACTGGCACCTCCTGTCCCCTTCCTCTGCTTGACTCTTCTCCTTAGCACTTACCATTATCCACCACACAACGTATTTTACTTATCTGTCCTGTCTATTGTCTGGTCTCACCACTAGAATGGAAGGGCCATGAGGACAAGGAGGGTCATCTGTTTTTTTCCTGCTGCATCCCTAATGTCTGGGACAGTAACTGACACTCAGTACACTCACAGGATAAAAGAAAGTCATGAAAATACACGTGTGTGGCTGGGGGCGGGGCGGGGGAGGGTGCATGGAGTTCAGGCATTACATACAGCAAAGGAAAAGGCTATGAAGAAAAACAAGCTCACAGTGTTGGAGGCCACAGAATGTCAAGGTGGCAACAGTGGAATGAGAGAAGGGATGAGCGGTGGGGGGAAGACTCAGAGGAGGTTGCTTCTGGTCACCTAGGGCGTTGGAGGCACAGTAAGGACACTGACTTTTGTTCTAAGTGTGAGCAGAAGCCTTAGGAGGGTTCTGAGTAGGAGAATAGCATAACCTGACTTCTATTTTACATGGAATATTCAGATTTTAAGACTGAGGCCACCAAGAGAAGGAGTGGAATCATTTATAGGGCTATTGTTGTAGCCCTGGTGAGAGACGTTGCTAAATTAGCCAGGGTGGCAGCTGTGGAGGCGGTAGAATAGGATATACCTTCAAAGGTTGACTCAGCAAGACTGGCTGATGGGTTGAGTGCAGGGTGTGAAAGGAGGAGAGAAATTCAGGGCGACTCCCAGGGTTTGGCCTGAGTAATTGTGGATGGTGGCAGCATCTGAAAGGAGGAAGCATGAAGAATTCCTTTTTCCCCTGATTTCTAGAACCTTCTGTGTCCCAAATCTCCCTGGGTAGTTGATATTTTCCTGTCTACACTCAATTCCTCAATGAACCTATTAAAATCTCAGGTGGTTAAACTATCACCTTTATGCAGTAAACAGCTCCATCAGCATCACCAACTCTAACCTTTCATCTTTGCTCCAGTTATTCTCAACTGACTTCAGGACACCTAGACTTGAATATTTTGCTGAAACTTCAAATCCTCAGTCTCATGTTTGCCAACCTAGTCAGATCCCACTGACTAGGAGTCGTTTTATTTATAATAACATTTTTGTTCCAGACTGCCAACACAAAACTGCTCTCATTGTTTAGTCTTCCATACAAAATTGTGCAATTTTTCCTTCAAAATCTTCCAATTTTCCTGGCCTTATACTACAGTCTTCAGGGAGCAGCATTCTACATTACCACAATGCCATTATCACAACCCAATTAATTTTTTCAAACAAAATCTCTAGGATTAAATGTTTCGTTTTAAAACCTTCCCACAGATCCTGACTACTTACTAGCTCTATCTGGCTTTCAAGGCTCTTCTCCATGTGATTCTAAGTTATCTGGACACAATTTCAGTATTTCTTAAGAAAAGGTTCCCTGTTATAATGAAAAGGTTCTCTTCAGAATTCCCTAGAAGCACTACGTACACTTCTGTCTCCACACCTTTGCCCCTGCAATTCTCTGCACCCAAAATGCCTTCTCTCCTTCCCTCTAAGTCTTTCCCACTTTTTAAGACAACTATAAGTCCTACTCTTTCCAAATGTCTTTTTTATCTACTCCAGCACATACTGATTTCTTCCTTCCTGTGAAAAACAATTAATAGTAAATTACAAACAGTTTTTATTATTATTAATAGCCAAGC